CAGCTCCTCCACCTCATTAGACCACTGCTGCAGGTTTTCGTTGATGCGTTGCACGCGATCTTTAAACTGCGCACGAACGACTTGTTCCAGGTAAGCGTCGCCATATTTCGCCTACAATGCCTCAAGGACCTACTCATAACAAGCTATATAATGGATTTTGTAAGCCGACTAGGAAGAAGTCCCGTCAAACGACGGCACTTTCAACCCATGTAGCGAAGGTGTAGTAGCTAGTACGGGAGCTGTAGTTCCATCTCCAAGTTTGAGTTTGTCCAGTGATTTCTTCATGTCAGCCATTACGTTGTCGACCCGATTGTTTACTTGGTCGATTTGGATTTCTGCTTTTGACAGGCGGTTGTCATGTTGAGCAACCTTATCCTTCCCCTCACTTATCTCTTTTCCGAAGGTAGCGTGAATGTCCTTCAAGAGTAGCATCTGCTCTCCTTTATCGCGTTGTGAGTTGCTCTTCGAATCGACGGGCCTGTTTCTTCTGTCGTCATCAGAGCCATCAGAGCACCTAAGTCAGGTGCTGCAGATGTGGGAGCTACTGGAGGGCCGGCATCCGTGGCCGGCGGCTGGCCCTCCGACGTTTGTGGCGTTGCACCACCAAATCGTCTCCGGTCAGTCTCCTGCTGGTGTTGACTTCGGGTATGGACACCTTCCGTTTCCTCCTAAGGTAAACTCGGCATGATTTTATCCTACTTCTCACACCAATTGTCACCGAACTTAGGGTTCGTGACAGTAAAAACCTCCGATTGAATTACCAAAATTGACACTTTAATACCGAACACCAAGTAAAACTAATACACAATAATAATTAATCACACCTAACACTTAAGTTAAGTGTGAAGTTTTCTAGAAAGCTTAGTTGTTCTAATAAATTGTATGTGTGTATTTCTCACCCTCGCTTTGCCGACGAACTAGTTAATATGACAGAATTTAGGAGGACCGTATAGCACAACGATACGTAGGCCTTGACTGTTGTATACACGAAGAAACTTAAGGTCAGTTAGCGACCGATGCTGAGGGCTATGCTCGGAGTTCCTCTATGTGTTAAAATTCGATTGAATTACCAAAATTGATACTTTAATACCGAACACCAATTATAACTAATACACAATAATAATTAATCACACCTAACACTTAAGTTCACTTTATTTCGCTCCTAAGTCTTTACTTGTATCGCCAACTCAATACTGTCCCGGTCGCGGCCCAAAACGACTTTATATAGGCCTTTTCCACCAAAAAATCTAGACTATTCCAGTAAATACCAGTCCTGACCGACTAGGTGTAGAAAGTTCGAGTGTGAAGTTTTCTAGAAAGCTTAGTTCTTCTATTCGATACTAGATGGCGATGGAAGTGGAAGCTTCTAGCATGGCATTTTCCAGAAGGCTCTCCTCACTCTGCTACCCAACACTAGATGGCGCCAGGGGCATTAATTATGGCTTGCTGCAACACTCTTTGGCTCCATTCCATGAAGTTTAGAGAGAAGGAGAAAGATCGCTGTAGAAAATTTTCTAGGTTATATTTACTAAATTATTTTAGACAAAATGAGCAGTTGCGGTTTCAAATACTGCAATTTCATCAACTACTTTAGTCACCACAAATATTAAATTCCTAAATTCAGCACATTTCACTCCGTCGACAGCTGCTAAGTTCATTTCATACCCTCTAGCTACTCCATCGCTGTTGTGGAGAGTTTTTGAACTGTTATTTACTGCTTACACATGGGCACTTTTTCAACTATTCTATTATGGGTATTGATTCTCTTTTACTCTACACTCAATACTTTGACGCTTTGACAGAACAGAATATTTTGTAGTTCATAGCCATGGAGGTTAGAGAGAAAGAGAACGATCGCTACCTGCTAAAGTATAGCCCACCCGTCCCTGAAAATTGGGGGAATTTATGACCGCGCTACCAAGTATCTGCGAAGTTAGCTGTTTATGAATACAACTAGATGAAGTTACAGTATGTGCCAAATCGTTTGAGAAAAACGGACAACGACCTTTCGGTCGTTTAATCAGGGATTACAAACCATCAATATATAGGCACATTTTATATGTAGTACTTTCTTTATTTATAATGATTTTTTTATTATTTTTTCTATAATGATTAATATAATATAATTATTACTTATTATTAAAAAGTTATGTGAAAGATCGCTGTAGAAGAAAAATCATATATTTAAAACTCATTAATTTAAACCTTAAAAGCATTAATTTGCTGCTGCAGCATTAGGTGCTATCACTGACCTCTATATATATAAGTACCCTGGACTGGCTATACACCGTGCCATGATAAGGCAATTTGATTTGCGTCATTTTAGCGCTGACAGCAGAAGTGTACGTCCACGGAACTAATAATAGGGATATGACAGTGTGACAAAATATATCGATAAAAATTCTATACCCTACCTATACCTACTTGAATAGAATGGACTCTATGGATAGATGGACTCTACTCGTAACGTCCATTCTATTTATGTATCATATTAATGTAATGCCACTATCATTCATCATCATTAAAGCCCTTCACAAGTCCACTGCTGAACATAGACCTCACCCAAGGAATGCCACAAAGCACGGTCCTGAGCCACCTGCATCCATCAACTTCCTGTATGTTTCCTTACCAGGTTTTCACTCCATCTAGTGGGGGAACTTCCGACACTTCACCTGCCAGTACGACGCTGCTACTCGAGAATCTTTTTTCCCCATCGGTTATCGGTTCTTCGAGCTATAAGACCGGACAATTGCCACTTCAGATTACTAATCCACAATACTATACTATACACTACCTACTATATACTACCATATGTCAGAGGTATCACAGACAAGATTGGCTACATCTTGAAGCGAGCTTCTATTAGAATATTCTACAAGCCGCCGAAGAAGATTAGTCAGTTCTTACCATCCGTCAAGTGTCATATTTCTCCACAAGATGCAGGAGTGTACAAGCTTGATTGTGATTGTGCTCTCTCATATATAGGGCAAACAAAGAGATCAATTAGAACCCGCGTAAAAGAACACATAGCTGACGTGAAGCATCAACGTTCCGGGAAGTCTGCAGTTTGCGATCATATTCTAGATGGTCCCAACCATTACATCAGATTTGATAGACCACAAATCCTCGCGAAAGAATATCGATTCCTACCAAGGATGATACGTGAGGCTATTGAAATTAAAAAACATCCTAATTTCAATAGAGAAGGAGGCTGGGTACTACCACCTGCTTGGGATCCTATAATTAATAAAATTAAAACTAAACCCAAGCATACCACTGCAAGACTTCAAAATACAGTTAGTTCATTCTGCGTAGATCGGACCAAAAACAATAATTAAAAAGCTGAGGGTACTCCGGGTTAAATTTGACATCGGGACGTCAGTCACCTCAGTCCCCCGTGACCATGGGTGCTGGAAAGCACCCGAAACGTCGGGTATTAAAATTAATATAAATAAAACTTGATAAAATCCGTAAAAGTAGTTTTAATCAATGTATAGTGTTCGCGTAAATATAAGAAATCATAATATTACGTAATTAAATTCCTAATTAGGTCATTTATTGTATTGTATATCAAATAAAATTTGACTTTAAAAATAAATTTGAATAAGGAGTATACACTAAAATAAATGAAATAATTTCCACATAAAAGCTTTTGAAAACGGTCTTAAGACATATATTTCAAGCCTCGATTTCAGAACCTGTTCTATAGAAATTGTTTTGAAGTAGATTTTTACTCATTATTTAAAGTTCATTATTTTACTCTTTTGAATACAACTAAGTAAAATTATAAGCTCAGTGTGACTATGATGACCTACAAATGCGATAGTTACAATAAAGTTTTTGTCTATTAGAAAAAAATATCACGTCTAAATTGAGATTTTATAAGTTACGTTAAATGTTGATAGATTATTTCAAACTAGCTTACAACAGCCCACTTTATTGAGACAACTTAGCGATCGCAGCAACTCACTCATTTTGTACATATTTCTAGGACACTATTTTCTACAGCGATCGTTCTCCTTCTCTCAAACCTCCATGTTTATAGCTTTATATAATGTACTCTGTGGCACTAATTACAAAGTTGCATGAAGGTTATAGAACAGGAGAACGATCGACGTAGAAAATAGTGTCCCAGAAATATGGACACTATAAGTGAGGCGCTGCGATCACTAATTTCGGTCGATAAAAGTCATTTTCTGTCTATTTTTCCGATCAGATGCTAAACCACTTGCACATCCACGCGCAATAAAATATTTCTCCATTTTTTAATGTTTTTTTGTCAAAAATTACAAAATTACGGAGCATGAAAATTTTCTCATTAAAAATTTGTACATTATTCAACTAGCTTCATCTACTTGTACTCATAAACAGCTAACTTCGCAGTCACTACTCACCGACGTCAGCGCTGCTATATATTCTACAATTTTCAAGGACAGGCAGGCTATGCATTATAGTACGTAGTGATCGTTCTCCTGTTCTCTAACCTTCATGCAAAGTTGTATGTGCGGATTTTTGATGGGTACTTGGCCGTCGACGGACTGTCGTTACTGATTTGTCGCTTGAATAATTGTTTGAAGTAGATTTCAATTTGTAAAAGATTTAATTTTGTGAATTAAGTGTCTGCGCGTATGAACTATTAGAGAAAAAATATATAAAATGAAGATTCTGAAAGAAATTATAGGCTCAGAAGGGCTAGAACCCAGAGCCGTAAAGCCAGTTAAGTAAAAAAGTTGGATGTGCTCTCATGCGCTGTGGTTTGTAGCAAATAGATTGCTACATATTTATTTATCTATGGTAGCAAATAGCAACAAAAAAAATAAGACCCCGTTTTAGGATTTTCCAAACAATAACTTTAATAATTTTGTAACTAAAAAGTGCAAAAGAATTTATAGATGATAACTAAAAACTTATTATAACTTCCTACTTAAGTGTTTTGTTAAATTACGAGGAAATATAACATGATAGTCTTGTAAATTGGTTTAGTAAAATACAATCAAAAAATGCGTTGCTGTGTTCCTAATTGTAAGAACGATTCTAGGCATTTATCAAAGTCCCAAGGGATCACATTTCACGTGTAAGTTACTTTTTGTTGTACAACAATATAAAGCTCATATTAACGATATTATGAACAATTCAAACAATTGAAAACTGAATTTATATATGGTCAATACAATTATTATTTTATATCCCTCCAATCTCTCCCATCTATTTCAATCATTCGTCAGCCATCAAATGTTCCTGTTGTATAATTTATATATTCTTATATTTGTATAACTGACTTGCTTTTACCTTCGGTTTCGAGAGCATGGAGGACGAGACGAAAACGATATTATTTCAAATAAGCACAGTCAATATTATAATAGTCATACCTTTTGCCAAGACCTAAAACATGATATTGATTAACAGTATTAAGCTCCAGATCAATCCCACAGGAACAAAACTTTTCCGGGATAAAAAGTAGGTAACCTATGTTACTCTTTAGCCCGTTAACTATCTGCTAAAAATCATATTGATCTGATCTATCTCAGTCCTCAGGGGTGACAATGCATCTGCATTTTGATTTTATATTGAAGAAAAATGTACACAGTAGCTACTATATAAAAAATATTTTCCATAGTGGTGTGATGTAATAGTGGTTTTACATTCCAGCTTCCCCTCAGAGCAGTCACTACGCTCCTCTTGGTTGAAAGCAGTAGGCAAAGAATCGTGGGAGCCCAGAGAGAGAAGTGCAGTTTGCTCTCAGCATTTTCTGTGTGATGATTTGTATGAAACTAAAAACGGGTTGAGGAAGGTTAGAACTGGTGCAGTGCCTATAGTGTTACTGGTGAGTTAGTATTATTATTATATTATTAGGAATGACAGTACAAAATAAGAAGTGGAGATAGAACTGTAATCTCCCACTCGTTCCAGCCCTATAAAGTATCCTGCAGGCGACTAAGAGTAATCCATCAGTAATTCTATGTCTCAATGTCATTATTATGCCTGTTGAGGTAATGTCTTTGATAAATGTAAAGAAAGTTATATTGTGATGTTCCATATCACATCATGATAGACAGGCAGTTTTGCTGTTGGCTTACATACCTCATCAATTTTAATGGTTTTGTATGTGGTAGAGCCACATTGCGGCTATGTTATGGTTGTAGCATGAATGGTTCAGCTAGACTGGGGAATAACCACACTCTCACAGAATAAAAAAAATAGCAGCTAAATACTGCTGTGTTTCGATTCTTAACCATGGATAAATGTAGATGTCTATGGGCTACAACATCCCCTTACCATCAGTTTGACTGTGTGCTCAATTGTCACCTTTATTCTATAAAAAAAATCTGTATCTTCTAATAATAACCTTTTGTAACACCTTGTTATGGTTAACCTGTAGAGTCGCCGACGGTACACATGTGTACAAGAAATAAACATCTTCCGCTCGCTCGATAGAGGTACACATGTGTACAACAAGCACTACCCTTTGAAAAAGAATTTTTTTAATTAAAACAAAACCAAAGACACTATGCAATAGATAATAGTATCAAAGACAAAGATATGCTCTTTTATTTTAAACCATAACCTGGCAATGTTTCTTAGAAAAAAAAAAAAGAAATCACTCTGAACTTTCGGCGTTCCACGTGTCGCTTTGATGAAGGTGCTCCGTCTTTTTTATAGAATTTTATATTTGTGTCTGGACTAAAAACGAAAGTATTATACTTTTTTATATTCCTTGTAATATAGTAAACACGTAGATATATAATATGTGGTATAAAAAGTGAAAAGTAAATTGCCAAAAGTACTTCGAAATACGGAACTCCCATTTTGGCGGTTGGGGTCATAAATGTGTTATTTTTCCAATTCTCATTTATTTTTAGTGTAAAATGTAAGTAAAAATAGTTTTCTTATATATTTCAAATAACTTGACGTTGTATTTATTTCAAATTCACACAAAAATATTTTTGAAATATTGTTTGAAATGTCATACATATATAAATATTATTATAATTTTTTTTTAAATTTTTTTATATTTTAATATTTTGGTATGAGTAACGAATAGAAACACATAAAACATAAAAATATACATATTTCCAAACATTTTCATATAAATTTCTCCAAAAACAAAAGTGTAGAATTCAAATTAGTAGTAATTTTGGCACTAAAAGTGAAGTATATACTACTACTTATGCTATAAAGGGTAATTTATGAATTTTATTATAATTTCTAGCAACCAAAATAATTTTATTCAATAGTTTATACATTCAACAAGAATTCCTGTAAGTTTTATCCATAAATATTGTCTCAAAGTGAAAATATAGCAAAATTTGCAATATAGCAAAAAATTTGCTAATTTGCAAATTTTCCCGCCATTACGGTCGCGAGCGAACGGGAGTGTCATATTACGTGGCCTCGCGAGCTAACAGGTGAAAATAGTCTAATAAAGATATATGCTTACCTCTTTATAATAATATTGAGGCATAAATAGGTAGTTAACGACTGATGCTGCCGAAACGCTAAATAAAAGAAACAGGAACACTAACTTACACCTCTGAACAAGACAAAAGAAAGCGTTCACGTACAACTCGTATCTTGTATAGCCTAAATTTACACTGGTGCAGAACAGAATGGAAGCGAATTTTTCTAACAAATTGTATATAGTAAAATGTGAGTCTTATGTTAATTGTGTAATGTTTAAACTAGATATGAGCCAAAAAAGAAATCGCGCGTCTTCCGGGGAATTTGTGAGGATTCCTGTAGCTACTGTCGGCGAAGAATTCGCGGGAAGTGGAGCGAAGGGCGTGGAATCTAGACTAACTTTTCTACAGTCCCAAGGCCACTGTCGCACAGCCTGTAGGTGAAGTTGCGGGAATGCTCGAGCATTCGCACGCCTTCCCGCTGCCAAATGCTTCCCGGCAGTCAAATTTCCGCTAAAACACCTCAATAAGTTCTAAATGCTTATAGAATCTACTTTCTAACACAACTAACTACATGTATGCACTTTTAACTTTCAGGATAACTGTGGAGAAGATGTAACAAGTTTAAAGGTAATTGTGTTTATGATATTTATGTAACTTTTTATATACGGAGTAGTGTTATAGTCTTGTCTTTTGGATATGGTAAGGGGGGACTTTGAAAAATTAAAGAAGAAACAGAAATAAATGCGTTTTTTCTAGTTCAAGTATGCAGCTCCTGTAAAAAGGGATTTATATGCAAACACATAAATTACACGAAATATTTACCAACATTATATATTTAAGAAAATACACTTAAAAAACCCCTGTGCTGCAGCATGAAACTGTGATAAGAACCAGTCTCAGTGAGTACTGGTTTTCAGTCTGGCTCAACCTACCGATAGTCGATCGGAAGCCTGAAGCAACTCAGACGGCTGAGTTAAGACTTATAGTAGATTTAGCCTTCTTTAAATAGGAAAGTGCGTTCATGCGATATCTATAGTAGTTTTGTATTTAAAAAAAATCAAAAATAAATAAAAACACAACTCCTTTAAAAATTTATTAATGAATAAAAAAAATAGGAAATATAATATAATATGCAATTTCCCTGTTAGTTTCAATTTTATTTTTCTAAAATTTGCATTATGACAGAAGATTTTTATGGCTTCCGACAGGTGGCGGTATTAATATTTACGCCAGACTATATATAAGACTGATGACTGGAAGCAGCGTTATCCATTATTATGTACAGCGTTATACCAAATGGTGCTGTTCTGCTCTGCCAATAAATTTAAATTTTTTTCGTGGTAGTGCCATACTGCATCTATATTAGTAGTTAAGTTGTAGCAGGATTGGGTCGGGTCGACCGGGGAAGGACCACACTCTCACGGAATACCAGCGAAAAATAGTAGCTTAATACTGCTGTGTTTCGTGTGGTGAGTGTAGAGAACCAGAGACCATTTTTACTGGAAACGAGGAATTCCATCTCAGTCCTCACCAGTGACAATGCATCTGCATTTTGATTCGTAATCCAGGATGTAGATGTCTATGGGCTACCGCAACAACTTACCATCATATGGACTGGGTGCTCGTTTATCACACTTCTCCTGTAAAAAAGCCATGGGGTCTTTCTTTGTGAACATTAATAAATAATTATTATTATCTATACTGAATTTCGGTCACGGCGATCATTATCAACGGAGACTAGCCATCGGCGCAGGACAGGATTATAGTGCCCTAGTGTATGCGCTAGCACAGGTGCACTCTATATTTCCTCACTCTCATAGTCCGATGGGACGGTAAACCGACACGACCGGAGAGAAATCAGGCGCAGGACCAACGGCGTTACGTGCTTTCCGAGGCGCGGGGGTGAGACACCACAACTTCTTGACTCTGAGCAGCTAAAAACTGATTTTTTTTGCCCTGGCTCGCAATTTGAACCCGGGACCTCATGATCAGTAGTCGAACTACTACAACCACTAGACCAATGAGGCAGTTAATAATTAACCACGATGACGTAAACGAGATGGATATCACCATCATTTACTGCACTAAGATTTTTTCAGGCATTTCCATAAATTATTTTTAAACAGTTTCCAATGTCGCTATGGGACAGACGAGTTACAGCTTTTAGAAAATAAAGAAACATTAAATGCAATTATGCTACACACATAGTTAAGCACTTAAGTTTGAATATTTATAAACACTTAATTGTATATGTTACGGCTAATAGCCGCAGTGCGGTTATATGTAGTTCTAACCGGCTAGAATTAGGTTCGGCCAGCAGTATGTTATAGCCGAAGTGAGGCTAATAGAAGGTGTAGTCGATTGTGGTAGATGTATCGTATATAATTTATAAATTAAATAAATGTCTGCGGTTTTAAGGTGGCCCAAGATACCATGTTAACCGCACCTTAACCTACTATCTCTTGATACGTTTATCCGTATTTTTTACAAATTAAACAGAACACCTAAATTTACTTGGTTCTAGCCGGCTAGAACTAGATGTAACTGCACTTCGGCTTTTAGCCATAACTTATATGCAAAAACCAAAACGAAAAAGAAACCACCTAGGCAGATTTAACAAACATATAGCAACAGTATACTGTTATAAATAACTCGGTGGTACTTTTAGGGACATGTCTACATAATATGGGCATGGCATTTATGACAGTGAAGTATTTTTTGATCGTTATTGAAGGGATTTTAGTGTTCACAATAGGTAACTTACTAAATTCATTCTTGTGAAAAAATGTTATTTACTAAGTAAATTTGACACGCTTAACACGCACATTGGTAAAGCGTGGTTTGTCAATATTGTTATTCCTTGGCCAATGAATAGGTAATAAACTCACATAATATCCTCCAGACCGAATATCGGTCACGGCGGCCTGCCTCAAGGAGGTTAGCTATCGGCGCAGGACAGGATTATAGTGCCCAAGTGTATGCGCAAGCACAGGTGCACTCTCTATTCCCTCACTCTCATAATCCGATGGGACAGTAAACCGACACGACCGGAGAGAGATCAAGCGCAGCAAAGGCTTTACGTGCTTTCCGAGGCACGGGAGTTAGACACCGCCAACTTCCTGACTCCGGGCAGCTACTGAGAATTTCTTAACGGAAAAACTTAATAAGTAATTTTTTGGCCCGACCCGGGATTCAAACCTAGGACCTCATGATCAGACCACTAGATTTTATTTTACTGAAGAAGAGAAAGGTAAATGGGTTTGTCCAGAATGCCGGTGTAATATTCCGAAAGTAGACAACACCAATACACCGATTCGGGGAGTTTGCGTAATGGACAAATCGTTTTCACCGTCTTTTTATGTGAACAAAGAACGAAGAGATCGTCACAATTACCGCGAAGTATGTAACGATAGTAGGATTATAGAGGAGATCCGAGAGTTCCGCATGGAAATGATTTCTCGGCTCGACGATCAAATGAAGGAATATAAACGGCTAGAAAAAAGATTTATTAATACCGAAACTGAGCTGCGGGAATTAAAAAATATTATGAAAGTAGTGCAGCAAAAAGCAAATAAGGTGGATGAGTTGGAGGAGCGTATTAAAGTACTTACGGAAATAAATGAACGTTTGGAAACTGCTTTAACAGTAAAAAATACTACGAAGGAAATATTAAGTACAAACAAATGTGGAGCAATTAGTGTCATTTGCTAATATAACGAAGCAGAATAAAAATAAGTTAGTTAAAAATAACGGCCTAAATAAGGAGGGGGTAGTCGCAAAATCACCATCTCATTGTAACAATAGTACGGTATCAATAAGTGAAAAAACGCCGAACCCGAGCTCAAATAATTTTAATAATGAATCCAAGAAAGATGGTGTGGCCACGAAATCGGCAGAATTATCTAGTGTTCATAAATGCTCAGTTTCAATTAATGAAAACCAAGTTAATTCAGTGTCAGTAAATTCAACTAAGAACGCGAAGGACACATTGGAAAAAGAAGAAAACTGGACAGTAGTAAAAAAGAAAAAACAATAGGTATCCTAATAGTAAGGTAAAAAAGAGGAGGTAACACGAGTCTATCGGGTATACAAGGTACTGAACGTAAAAAATATTTACATGTCTGGCGACTGAAGAAGGACACTACGAGAGAAAGCATAGAAACACGTGTTAAAAACATATGTGGGGCTGAAGTTCAAGTTCAGGTTGAACAAATTAAACATAAGACTGAACGGGATTATGCTTTGTTTATAATAGGGGTTCCAGAAAGTCACTATGTTTACCAGAGAATTGGGCATTAAATATTGAATTTCGTGAATGGGTGTGGTTTCGTCGATACACCGAAAAACCAAAAAAGCTTTAGGAGAACTATTGAAATTTTTTACCAGAACGTAAGAGGACTGAGAACGAAATTAGATGAATTCTGGGTGGCCGTTGCTAGCTCGAGTTCCGATTTGTTTGCTATTATGGAAACCGGCTTTAGTGAATCTATTCAAGACTCTGAAGTTATTCCACCTGGATACAAAATGTTAAGATGCGATCGCGTAGACGGGCGGAAACAAGGCGGCGCTTGTCTAGTGGCCACACCGCGCTTCGAACTGCACTTTGTACCTATATCGAGTGACATCAACATAGATTGTCGCGTATTTGAACTGGTTTGTGCTAGGGTATATTTAAGAAAAAGATTTATATTTTTCGTATGCGTTGTTTACATACCACCAGGTAGTTGTGATAACGAATATATGTTATTATTTAAAATAATCGAGCAATGTTGTAGTAAGTACAGTAAAGTCATAGTACTAGGAGATTTTAATTTGTATTCGTGCTCCACTGCTATACGTAATTACTATGAACATTTTGTAACATACTGTCAATTTTCTCAGAGCAATAGAATAGGAAATTGTAATGAACGACAATTGGATTTAGTGTTAAGTACATTTGATGGTGAGGAATCGGTGAGGGTGTATGCGGCTGATTTGGAGCTTGTGCCAGTGGATGCGCACCATCCCCCGCTTGAGGTAATAGTGTGGTTGCAATCCGCCGCAGACGAAACCTCTTCTGCGCAGGGCCCCATTGACAGCGAATGCTACGAGGTACCCGCTTGGAAGTTTAGCAAAGCTAACTTTCCTCTCTTGTATAAAACTATAGAGGAAATAGACTGGTCTCCAATATATGGTCTAGATTTAGAAGCAAGCCTTGATTTTTTTTATTGTACCATAAATAATATATTAGATAATTGTGTACCTAGGAAAAAAGTAAGTAAGGTAAGGTCAAAGTATATTTATCCTGAGTGGTATACAACTGAGATAATACGCTAGTTAAAATTAAAAGCAGATCGCCATAAGAGGTATAAGATGAGTAAATCACAAAACGATTATGAATTGTTTTCTAAGTGTCGAGCGAAAGTTAAAAAAATGATAAAACTCGCGCAGGAGCAATATCAGCGTCGCGTCCAAAGCCATCTCGTAGAAGGTCAGCTTTTTCGATTACATACGGTCCAAAAGAGGCTGCCTAAATAAAAAACTAATTTTGAAAAATGGACAAGTATTGAGTGGTAAGCAATGTGTAGAAGAGTTTGCTCAGTACTTCCATTCAGTGTATAGGACGGAACAACCCAACCTAAGCGTCACCGAGGCAATAATAGCGGCTGGTGGTGTCAACGCAGCTGCGCGGGTGCATATAGAAAGTCTGAGTATTCAGGATGTGCAACGTGCCTTAAAAAAGTTGAAACCAAAAAGGTCCGCAGGACCGGATGGTATTCCACCATATATTCTCAGGGACTGCCGTTTCGTGTTAACTAAGCCGTTAATGCACATATATTCTAAATGTCTGGACAATGCTGTTTTTCCCGATAGATGGAAAACCACACGGGTCGTTCCGGTTCCTAAAGGAAAAGTAGGATCGCAGGTACACGAATATCGACCTGTGGCCGTGCTTTCATCAGCAGCTAAAGTGTTAGAGTCGGTCATGTATGACAAAATATTCGTGCAGGTGAATCAGCAGCTCTCGGAAGCACAGCATGGGTTTCGCCCAATGAAAAGTACTACTAGCAACCTTCTTAGCTACATGGCTGAAGTTGTGCCCGCAGTGGATAGGGGGTGCAGGTCGATGCCGCCTACTTTGACTTTAAAAAAGCGTTTGACTTAGTGGATAACGACGTCTTGCTGAAAAAGTTAGCGGCAGTTCGGCTTCACTCCACATTTATTAAAATTATTTGCCGGCTATATGGCAGGTAGAAAGCAGTATGTGGAATATGCCGGCTATACGTCGGACCCATATATTACAAAATCTGGAGTAAGCCAGGGCAGTAATTTAGGGCCACTCCAGTTTTTATTACTGGCTAACGATTTGCCGGAGGTAGTTAAGCAATCTAGGTGCCTTCTTTTTGCTGACGACCTGAAGTTGTATCATGTCGTAGAAACATTGTCAGACTGTGAAAAGCTACAACAGGACGTAAACAGAGTAGTGGCATGGAGCAATAATAACCGTTTACAATATAACACCTCCAAGTGTGTTACCATTTCGTTTACTAGAAAGCGCACGCCCATTGAATATAACTATGAAGTCGATGGTTCGCCAATGGTAAGAGTTAAAGAAGTTAAAGATCTGGGCGTTCGGCTAAATAGTGAATTATCATTTAGGGAACACATTCTCAATTGCTGCAAAAAAGCGTATAGAAACTTGGGCTTCATTCTTCGCACAGTTCACGGTTTTACTAACATTAATTTAATCGTTACTATGTATAATACACTGGTAAGAAGTAATCTGGAGTGTAACGCTGTAATATGGTCACCACATGAAAAAAGGTATAGCACAATGCCAGAACGGGTGCAAAATAAATTTATTAGATACCTATATATGCGCCATTATGGGGTATACCCTATGTACCCATTAATGTACCCATTAATGTACCCAACCTTATTTATTCTGGGTATGGTTGGCTACAACGAGTTGAGGGTAAGACGAGACCTCGCCTTAGTCCTATATATTTTTAAAGTGCTTAGGGGAAAAATATATAATAGTGACATATTGGGGCGGATTGGGTTGTGTGTTCCAGACGGGTATGGAAACGGCGGCGGCCGCGGCTGCTCTTCGTTTCGCGCGCCCGAACCAATTTACTAGATAAAGCACCTTTAACGCGAACGTTACGCATTCTTAATAGAATGGCTGAAGACATTGACCTATTCTATTGCTCCTTGAGTGAATTTACTAGGGTGGGATTGTTTACAATTTGTTACAGTTAATTTCTACATTTTTTGTTATGCATAAAAAGAACTACACTGTCGCATTAGGTTATTCCTGTCATGATAGTTGTTAGTTTCAATAAATAAATAAATAAATAAATAAATCAACGAGGCAGTCAATTTTAATTTCAAGGGTAACAGTGCAGTTATAAATCTAGTATAAACTCGGGTACAATTTGTAAATAAAAATGTTAGTTTTGCACAGTTGCAAAAATGTATTTAAATTTAATTTAATTTTTTATGGTCGGATTTTTTGAAGTAAAGTTATTAATATATGTTTAAATACTGGCTAAAAATTCACAGTCTTTTTGTTATATGATATATATTTACAAATTACATTTAAAATATGTACCTTGAGTATGTTGTGGCGCGTTATACAAATAGACCTCACTCAGCTTATGCTGTTGCATAAAATACAGCGCTTAAACGCACCTTTAACAAACTTTTTTACTTTTCAGGTGTGCAGAATCTGTCTGGCCATGGACCGGAAGCTGTTCCCCATCCGGAAATACAAACTGGAGCGCGCGTTCGAGCATTTAACTGGTTTAACAGTAAGTTTTTTACGTGGTAGAGCCATGCTGCAGCTATATTAATTGTATAGTTGTAGCACGAATGGGTCGACTCGACCGGGGAAGGACCACGCTCTCACAGAATACCAGCGTCAAATAGCAGCTTAATGCTGCTGTGTTTCGTATGGTGAGTGTAGAGAACCGGAGACCCTTTTTACTGGAAAAGAGGCATTCCATCTTAGTCCTCAAGACTGACAACGCATCTTCATTTTGATTTGCGAACGAGGATAGATGTAGATGTCTATGGGCCACAGCAACCACTTACCATCAGGTGGACTGTGTGCTCGCTTGTCACCCTTTTCCTATAAAAAAAATAAAAAAGCCACAGTAACCGCTTACCATCACCTTGCTCGCTTGTCACCCTTTTCCTATAAAAAAAGTGTACTTTAGTTTCATTTATTAGGCGGATTGACTGCTTTTTTGTTTAAGAGTTTAGGTAGGTATCTCTTACCTATTTCTGTCTTCAGTTAGCACTGCTTGCACTGATGTGTTCTGATCTGTAGGGTATGGAGAGCCAATGTTTTCGATACGAGCACACAGTCCACCTGATGGTAAGCGGATGCTGTGACCCATAGACATCTACATTTATCCTCTATTAAGATTCAAAATGCAGATGTTTTGTAACTTGTGAGGACTAATATGGATTGCCGCGTTTCCATTAAAAAGGATCTCGGTTCTGTACACTCACCGCATATACACAGAACGCAGCAGCATTAGGCTGCTATTTCACGCTGGTAGTTTAGTTTAGTTTATTTTGCGACGGGCTGTTTTCCGCAACTCCACGTCTATGCGCGTATTTTGCGTGTGGGCACGAATAATGTGATTATTCGAGCCATGAGATCTCCCCGAAGAAGCTCAACAGTCCCTTGATGTTGCATGCAACTTCCCCGGCGTGCCGAGATGTTTAGCCCTGTACGTAGCGACCTCTGGACATTTCAGTAGCACGTGGGCCGCCGTTTCTTCCTCCCCCATACATGCCCTGCACAGGGGACTATCTGTAACACCTATAGTAAATAAATGTTTGTTAAAGGTGCCGTGTCCTGTGATAGCACTTGTTACTATCCTGATCTGCGGCTTGTTCAGTCTCATTAAAACTTTGGTTCACGCTGGTATTCTGTGAAAGTGTGGTCTTTCCCCGGTCGAGCCGACCCATTCGTGCTGCAATGAATATGTAACTGCAGTATGGCTCTACCACGTATAGACCGTACCATCAAGTGGACTGTAAATTTGTTTGTCACTTCAATTTTATATAAAAGGGTCCATCTATCGGCTTTGCACTTGTCAACCTTGGCAAGGTAGGTATGGATAAAATAAAAACAAACAGCTCATACACGTCCCACTGCTGGGCATTGGCCTCTTCTCAATGAGTCTTATGGAGCAAACAGTTCCTTGCGTATAGTGCGCGTTGGGGAAGAATACGAGGGTGGATTGAAAAGTACTCGGCCTAACACAGATCCATTCAATTCTAAAAATCAAATCTACCCACTTTATTTAGTTCAGTTCAGACTAGTTCATTGTGTGAAGTTCGAAACGTGTGCGATAATTAGTTGTGATTTTATAAATTTATTAACAAAGTAATCGGACATAATTTCCGCGAATGGAGCAAATCGAGCAGCGTGCCGTCATTAAGTACCTCCATAAGAAGGGGCTATCATCAAAAGCCATCCATGATGACATGGTCAGTACATTAGGCGATTGTGCTCTGTCATATTCATCCGTCAAAAAATGGATAGCAGAATTTAAGCGTGGTAGAGAGAGTGTGAAAGATGAACCCCGCTCTGGAAGGCCTTCGACGTCAACTACTGACGAAAATATTAAAAAAAGTACTTGATTTAATAATGGGAGACCGCAGATTAAAAATTAGAGAGATAGCCGAGATTATAGGCATCTCTTATGAACGAACTCAAAACATCATTGTCAACGAGTTGGGTTTTCACAATGTGTCTGCGAGGTGGGTTCCACGACTGCTTTCAGTTGAACACAAAAGGACGCGATTGACTATTTCATGCGACTGTTTGGAGTTATTTGAAGCCGATGCAGATGATTTTTTGAATCGTTTTGTTACTATGGACGAAACATGGGTTCATTACTGTACACCGGAAACAAAACAACAATCAAAACAGTGGAGAAGACCTGGTTCACCACCCCCTAAAAAGGCTAAGTCGATTTTGTCGGCAAATAAGGTGATGGCTTCAGTATTCTGGGACTCGAAAGGTGTGATTATGATTGATTATCTTGAAAGGGGTCAGACTATAAACTCTGATTACTACTGCACCTTACTACGTCGTTTACGAGAGGAAATAAAAGAAAAACGTCGAGGAATGCTCAGAAGAAAAGTCCTGTTTCATCAAGATAACGCCCGTGTTCACACGTCAGTACAGTCAATGGCTGAAATTCACAACTGTGGCTTTGAACTGTTACCGCATCCGCCGTATTCACCTGATCTGGCACCATCAGACTTCTTTCTGTTCCCTAACCTAAAAAAGCACTTGGGAGGTCAAAGATTTTCGACAAACGACGAGGTCAAAGCAGCTGTAGACGCATATTTTGACTCTAAGGAAGAATCATTTTTTTTCAACGGTCTAAATGCTTGGAAGGGAAGGTGGCAAAAGTGTATTGAACTTGATGGTGATTATGTAGAAAAATAAAAATATAACTGATTTAGTATGTGTTTATTTTCTTGGTTAGGCCGAGTACTTTTCAATCCACCCTCGTATCTACTGAATTAAAATACTCTACAATAAATCTAATTACTTATTATATATTCTTTATTTTATTATTACGTAATTAAAAAAAATCGAAACAAATACACACGTATCGCTAAACTAATGCGACTAAGATATAATAACACCAAAGTGTCATAAGTCATAACACTAAAAATTCGAAATTGAAGTATACTGTAAGATTCATTAAAATGATAATACTACATTGTATTTAATTTAAATTTATTACGTATATTCTAAACCTACTTCAAATAAAAATGTTTTCAAACCAACTCTTGTATAATTGTAACATTATTCGAAGTAGACGTAGTTACTACTGTTATTTTAAAAGTATCACCAAATTGGTTCAGTAGTTTACACAAAAATCGAATAATAATTTTAACACCACTATGTCCAAATGTGCCAGCTAAAGTGACAATATTTGGCTATTTATAATCATACATACATAACATACATAAACACTCATGCCTGTCACCCAGGGGTAAGCAGAGACTACAGACTTCCATTTAGCACGAACCTGACATACCTCTATCGCCTCTTCCACATCCATATACCTACACATGCTCGTCGGTTAAGGGTACTCTTAATTTGGCCCATTTTTAATTTTGGTCGACAAACTTTCGCCTAGGACGTCCCTTTCTGACTCTTCCATTCACTTCTGGTACATATATTTGCTTTGTCAGTTTTTCCTCTCACTTTCATGAAATTCTTTTTGCCTGTATAATCCTGCAAACCACACTCTTCTTTTATCACACAGTTTCTCACCCTGTCACTCAGATTCAGCCCTAACGTAGCCTCTTATATCTTCATGTATACATGTTTCAACCACATTGAAAAATGAAATGTATTTAGATGTATCAATTCCATTGAAGCAATTAAACTGAAAACATTATTGAACCAAAATTGAACCGTGTAATATCGGCTTCAAGCCGATATTACACGCATCAATCAAATTGAAACAATTCCATTGAAAACCATTGAAAATTGTACAATGAACGACTTTGCCAATATACTCGTATATCATTTAAATGACATTCAATGTTCACAACGCATTGCGATGTCGCCCCAACTCGTACGTGCGGGAGTTTAGTTAATCTGCGACTGTTTAATAAATAAGTTACATAAGTTAAGTTAGTTGGGTGTGCCCATGGATTTCGAAAAAGATAACCAAAGGAGCATCAATCAACCCTATTAGTAGAATTGGCAGAAGAAGGTCCAAATTCATATTTGAACCATTTGCAAATGACGGAAACTTAATTTAATGAACTTCTTGAAAAGGTTACACTTGTATGACTGTCATGCCACTTAAAACCCATTTTCGAAAATCCATGTGCGCAGGTGAAAGATGTGCGCGTGCGTACGCTTCGCTGTCATGCATTCGTGCGCGGAATGAGTCACCGTTCAATCTGCATGCATACACTTTTCAACCACATTGAAAAATGACCAATATTGCCACCATTGCATTGAAAGGGTTCGGTGAATCTTAGCTTTCAATGAAATTGGGCAATCGCATTGAAATGTATGTAGTTGAAAGCAGTATTGATCCGAAATTGAACCATGTAATATTGGCTTGACTGAATTGAAGAACTGATTGAAGTTCAATCTCGGTCCGCCATATTGTCGTCATTCAGTGTTGGAGTTCGCTTGCGTTCGGCCGTGTTTCGAAAGGGCTATCTTTTTGTTCATTTGTTGTTATTCGTTTCGTTTTAGTGGTTTGATTACTGTTATTTATATCTTTGAGTTTAAGTTGTTAATACAATACAATACCCTTTATTGTACACTAAGAAAACAAATAACAACAAGAAACAAACAAAGAGCAAAACAAAAGGCGGTCTTATTGCTATGCAGCGATTTTTTCCAGACAACCTAAATAGGAAGTAAAAATAAGTGATAAGTTAATTAATGAGTAGAGTGCACAATAAATAATATTGTAATCTAAAAAAAATATAAAAGTAAATTAATAAACATACCGGAATTTACTTAATTAACAGACTAGTGATCATAAAATGACAGGAAGAGATGAAAGGGGGAGGGAGAATTTAGAAGGAAAGATAATGTTTCTTAACTTGGTTTTTAACTCCTTTAAAAACCAAGTTAAGAAACATTATCTATAATGTTTGAGCATGTTTTATAGTTAATGGTAAGGAGTAACAAAGCTTCACTCCAAGAACTGAAAAAGATTTACTGTAAAAAGTAGAAGAGTGCCATCCTGACAATCTCCAGTTCTATTGATCGATTCGTTTGAGTATGTTTTGTTAAACTCCTTAGGTGAATATTTCTTATGTTATCCTGTGGTTTATATTATTTTATAATTTAACTTAAATAGTCAATTGATAATCTTTCAGTATTGCGAAGACGACAGTCTCCCGCAGAGGCTGTGTGCAGAATGTGCTCAGAGACTGATCATGTGCTACCGCTTCAGGAACAAGAGTTTAAGGGCGCACGCTCTTATGATGGAAATCATAGGGAAGCAGAATATGGTATGTGATAATTTTTTTGGCCTGAGCGTACTGTTCCTCTAGCGTTTTGGGTGATTTACCTCTGGTGAAAATACTCTATTGCGTAATGTTGGCGTAAGAGGTGACAGAGGGAAAAATAAAGGGAATGAATAAATAAAATCTATTTCTGTTTACTTGAAGTAGATATGTGTCAATCATTCATTTCTAGTGACCAAATAATTCTAGTACATTTCGTCACCGGTACATTCGGATCGATCATTCAAATGGATCATTTCAGGCTCCAGTACCCTACGCTAAAAAAAATTAATTCAGATTATTCGGGGTTCGGTCGGTTTTCGACTCATTTACAATTCACACCAATCACGAGTTAAAAACGTTCCGTCAATTGCTTATGATTGGTTGTACCGGAACATTAAAAAACAGATGAATGAATTATCAGTACTTGTAACTGTCAAACAAACGAATCATTCATGATTGACACATGTCTACCTTGAAGCATGTCTATGGGGAGGGAGTTGACAGGTTGGTGATGGTGTGAGAAGCGTTTTCCTGCTAACAATTCATTATAATAAAAAACTGTGACTGCCAACTTGCCAAAAATGTCAGCTATGGCACATATGGCATATTCCATGAAGCAGTGTATGGTGGACTTTGGGCTTTAACTGTCGGTTTTTGATAAGCTGTAATGATTGATGATATACAATGATTACAAATAGAATCATTTTTATTCCATATAGCTTACATGAATACTTATTTTACTTGGTAGAGCCGTGCTGCAGCTATATTATGGTTGTAGCACGATTGGGTCGGCTCGACCGGGGAAGGACCACGCTCTCACAGAATACAAGCGTAAAATAGTTGCTTAATGCTGCTGTGTTCCATATAGTGATTGTAAAAAATCGGAGACCGTTTTTAATGGAAATAATGCTGTCCATTTAAGTCCTCAAGGGTGACAAAGTATCTGCATTTTGATTTATAATCGAGAATAGATGTAGATGTCTATGGGCCTAAACAACCACTTACCATCAGGTGGACTGTGTGCTTGCTTTTCACCCTATCCTATAAAAAAAACACTATCGTCTTTCTGGTCCCAAGTCGCCTTTTACCACATTCAGAGGACAGGTTGGTAATTTTCATTCACTCTTAATGAAATATTGAAAAGAGACATGGATGAGGGTCCAGCTATAAATCAGTCACTATCATGATTGCTGAGTTACTTTAAAAAAATTAGAGATGGGCTGAATATGGATTTTACCGAATACGAATATTCGGCCGACCGTTCGGTAAAAATTTTACCGAACCGAATATTCGGCCGAACATTATTCGGCAGGATCACCTCGGTACCTAACCAATTTATGTCGAAACTTGTTACCGTAAAACGCGCGAGTTAGCGCCGGACCCTGCCTCTCGCTCCCCCGCCACACCTGACATATTTTGCATCAACTATAGACATGCGCAAAATGTGTCAGTGAAAAGAAATGAATGAAGTATATCTTTTCGCGCTATGAAGTAGTCCACTCATTTAGTTCAGTACTTCATTTAGTTCAGCAGACCAAAACGAGTCCATAACCTTAGGATATCGAGCTCGCAAGTGTGATTGATGAGTGAGTTACGATGAATGATGCACTTCACTTAATCAATTCACCTTTATACCAATCTCGATTTTCCTTCATACTCTATACAGGCTTAGGACTGTCAACCATGAAAAACTATTTGTTATTGAGTACCTAGTATGTTTTCTGTTTTCTCTATGTATCTAATAGGTTGGCGTATTTAAAAATTCGAAATATGTACAGCGATTTAAAATTATTTACAGGATATTTATATACTATTTACCTACATCTATTTATAATTATACATTTACATACGTTGCTGATTAATTATATGACAATTACTACTTACAAATAACAATTGAGACAGTTTTTAGATTGTTAACCGAGTCCTTCTTTCGTTCAAAATATGTCCGGCTTTAGAAAAAATTCTTTCGCATGGGACAGAAGTTGCCACAGGGTGCAGTCTTTTTAGGGCGTATTTGAAGAGGATTGGGTAGAACGACCGGCGCTCGTGCCACCAGCGCAAAGGATCATTGCACCGTTGTAAAAGTGGTTCCTGGAGATATTGATCTATCTCCACAATGCCAGCGGTCAAAGGATTTGTAGGTGTCAACTTTGCCACTTCATTGTCAAATCGGTCCCATATGGACGTCATAGGAGACACTGACGTGGATGTGGATGGCTCTGATGTTGAAGGCAATGTCGTTGTAGTTTGCCTTTGCTGCACTGTACAGACTTTCCTCTTCAATGTAGCCACAGCCTGGTCGAAATTATTTATATGTCTGAATCCTTTATTTTTGAATCGAGGATCCAGTATCGTCGCCTCGCTATACAATATGTGTTTCTCAATGTTGGAGAAACGCTTTTCTAACTGCTTGTCGAGTGTATTCAGCATTAACTGCACTCGCGTTGGAAGCGTGGTATTATTTAAGTGCGCTTTGACATGATTATTCATGATGCCACACAGGAGGATGACTTTAGCCAGCGAAACATTCTTCTCGGCACTAATTTCGACGGTTATGTCGTAAAAAAGTTTTAAAATTGTCGCTGCGCTTTCTATAACTTCCCAATCGTCGTTATTTAGCGCCAGCTCCTGTCGCATTATAGCTATTGTGGCGATTACGGCATCCTTGGCTGATAACAGCCGCTGGAGCATGTCATAAGTGGAATTCCACCGCGTTGGCACATCCAGCTTTAATTTTAATTCGCCAAGGTTTAGTTGTTTTTGCATTTCTCGTAGCTTATGATGAGATTGAGAAATTCTTTTAAAAAATTCGACGATACTTTTAACCTTGACCAACGTTTCCGATAGAGTCGTCAGAGCGGCTTGCACACATAAAGTAATTGAATGCGCAAAGCATGGTATATGCCATCTACCGGTATCTCTTATTGCAACAAGTCTTAATTAAATGTTACAATAAATATATAGAGAACGTTGAGTCTTCAATAAAGGATAATATAAAATACTTTTGGAAATATACTTCAGATATAAAGGAAACAAATACGGGATATCCTCAAGTAATGAAGTTGGGAACCAAAACTTCAGATGACCCAAAAATAATATCTGAAATGTTTTCACATCATTTTAAATCCGTATTTGAACCGTTGTCAGACAATGCATATACATTAACTCAACACTTAGAGGATAATTTTACTGGAATAAACTTACATGACATACGCTTCACACAGTTGGAAGTTTGCACTGCTTTAAAAAACATTGATCCAAACAAAGGCGCTGGACCTGACAAAATAAAGCCAGTGTTTTTAAAACACACTTCTAATACAATTTGCATGCCGCTCAATATAATTTTTAACAAATGTTTGGAAACTGGAACATTTCCAACTCAATGGAAACAAGCATACATTACACCTATCCATAAATCAGGTTCTAAGAACAACGTAGAAAATTACCGTCCCATATCAATTCTTTCGGCTATTCCTAAAATTTTTGAGAAACTTATTCACGATCATATATATTCAATTTTGAAAAATACATTATTAGAGGAACAACACGGCTTTGTTAATGGCAGATCTACACTGACAAATCTTCTTGTTTTTACTAACTTTATTTTTAATAGTTTAGACTATAAATCACAGATTGAAACTGTATACACCGATTTCGAAAAAGCATTCGACAAAGTTGATCACTTGCTACTTTTAAAAAAAATCTCCTACAATGGTATCAAAGGTAATCTTCTACGTTGGTTTGCTTCTTATTTACAAAACCGCATACAGTCGGTAGTGCTTAATGGCTACATTTCCTTACCCGTTGTAGTAACATCTGGCGTACCACAGGGATCAATACTGGGACCACTCCTCTTTATCCTATTTATTAATGACATTTCAACTTGCTTTGACCATTGTAAATTCTTATTATACGCTGATGACTTAAAATTATACTCTGCCGTTACTAAACCTGACGACATAAAATTAATACAAAACGATTTGGATAGACTTGAAAACTATTGTAAAATTAATAAATTATTCTTGGCTTATAATAAATGCAAACACATAACATATACTAGGAACAAAAATGTAGTACACGCGGACTTTTACTTAGGTGGTCACAAAATTGTATCAGAATTTAGTATACGTGATCTTGGAGTATATTTAGATACCAAACTCACACTAGATAGGCACATCGAGGAAATATTGAATAAATCTTACCGAATGCTAGGCTTCGTTACACGTATAACAAAATCATTTAAACACAAAGATACTCTTACCTGCCTTTATCAGTCATTAGTTAGATCTCATCTAGAATATGTGTCCCCCGTTTGGAATCCATTCTACTCAGTTTATGAAGATAAAATAGAAAAGGTCCAAAAGAAATTCTTACGTATTGTTAACTATCGAATGCATTCACCTCGCGTTTCCTATGAAAATCTCTTAACAAAATATCAAATGCTGTCATTAAAAGACCGACGCACTTTAATCGACGCCACTACTTTTAGGAATATCTGTGTTGGTGAGATTAAGTGTTCACAGTTATTATCCGAGGTAAGGTTTCGAATACCACCCAAAAACACACGATCAAAAAATCTATTTCATATACCAAAAACCAGGACCAACATTGGTAAAAGAGCACCAGTACACAGAATGTGTGTCCTCCACAATAAAATGCTTAACGACATCGATATTTTCTCCATCTCCCGTTCAGCTTTTAAAACTAAATTAAAAAGTACTTTAGTAGCAATCATGAATTAGATATATAAGGATATTTAGTATTTATTATTGTACATGTTAGATGATTGTTTTCAGATGATTGTTTTCTTTTTATTTAAGTACAGACTTGTTACCCTGCTTGTTGTGCAGACGATACCAATTACGACCTGCTTCATAATATAAATATTATGTATGTTCTTAGTGAGACAGCTTATAGGAAACAATTGTAATTACCATTGTCTTATTTTACTTGTATATTTTTCTTTCGTATCTTTTGTTTCTGTTTTGTCTCCAATAAAGTAA